TAAATTTACATATTTAAAGGATTTTATTAATTAATATAATATAATATAATATATAGTTCCATATATATTTAAAAAAAATATATACATTAAATGTGGATTGTTGTTTTATATTATATATTATTATTAAAGTAAATATCGAATAAAAATAAATTTTTTATTATATTAATTTTTTATTTTTTGACTTTTCATATATCTTAAGGAAAGACTTTTTCTCTACTTATATAAGTTATATTTACACAACTTTTAAAAATTTGCTCACCGTTCTTTTTATTGTCATATTTTTTCTTTATATTATGCAACCATGTCAGCAGTTAAGAATTACCTATCCACATAAGTACATGTATTTTCAAGTTTGATATTTTTTATTTTGTTTCATTAAATTGTGTTATATATTTTAATTAATTTTTTTTGAATAAACATAAAATATTATTTTTAAATGATATAATGTATTGAATCTTATTTTTAATTGATTAATTTGTATCAAATCTCTTATTATTTTCTTATATTCATTACAAGTAATTATTTACTTTTATGTTTTCAATAATGTTGTAGGAAAACAATAAGTTCCAATGAAGATAAATGAATTTTTCTTAACGATCTGAATTCAACAATAGATAAATAGAAAATAAAAGTGTGAATATCACGGCTGTGATATTTAATTATAAAAAATATGAATGTATATATTATAGGTAATATTTATATTTCTACATCAAGATCAACAAATAATTATGCCAATATTGACATATCAGAAGTTACTCATTTTATAAATTTATTCAAGTATTGAAATAATTTAAAATATCTTTGTTACGTTAATCATTGTTAATTCTTTACTTTCTATTTTAACCATATTTTCAATTATTTATTATCACTTTGTTAAAGGAATTTTAATGATATGCATATTACTCACAATATTGATAATATAAGATTAACTATTTTTCCTAAGTTAGAAAATTTCAAAAACATATCTAAAATATTGACAATGGCAAAATTAAAGAGTAATATGGTAAATTTAATCACTCTTATACTTTGTTCTTTTTATTTAATTTTAAACTAATTTTTTAATTAATTTTCAGAATGCTGTAATTGGTTGTATTATAACTGTGAACTATGTAATGCTTAAAAATGATTAGTATTATATTTCTTGCCCTCATTGCAAGAAGAAAATTTATTTTACAACTACAAATTTTAATTGTAAATCATGTTATAAAGACGTAAAGTATCCAATGACAAGATAATTAATTCATCACTGTGTATTCTAATTTTTAAATTTTCATATTAAAATAAATTGAATTATATATTATTACCTTAATTTATATATATTACAGTTTTCGTCTTGAACTTTATATTAAAAATTTCACATATTCAACTATATTTGTCTTATTTGATGAAGTTGCTGAACAATTAGCACAAGTAAAGTTAACAGATCTTATTGCAACATTTAAAATTGTAAGCAAATGTGTTAATTTATAACTTTCTATAAATAAAATATATTAAAACATATAACTATTTTTATGTGATAATTTTTTAAAAAGTAATGGTGAAGCATTAAAGTTGCCTCCACAACTTTATGATTATTGGCACTTTACATATTGTTTAACTAAAAATGAGTACTTACTTTGAAAGTTGTAAAAGACAAAATTTCACTCTAAATAAAATTATAAAGCCAATAGTAAATGTAATATAGAAAATTAAATTAAAGTTTCATTACTTTCATTTATAATATTTATAATACAATGATGAATAATTTTATTTTCATTGTTTGATATTTACAGATTGAGAATGAATAAGGTATAGACAATACAAATAAAAAAAATAAAAGAAAAAGATTTGGCAATAAGTCTTAGACAAATCTTATATGTGATTCATAAATTTTATATTATATCAACATCTGTAAATTTAATTGATATAAAGATTAATTTTTGTATTAAATACAGCAATTATTCTCTTTTAATTTTTACCTAAATCTTAATTGAAAATTTTTAACTACTATTGTTTTCTCTTCTTCTATTATTTTAATTTTTTTTAAAAATAATTTAATAGAAACTGATATATCAAAATTATGTATAACCTATTAACATAGACAATATTTTATTTATATTTTATATTATAATAATTATGATGACAAATTTAATTTTTTTAAATTAAAAATTAACAATATTCATAGGTAATGATTATGTTGCAATGTTTTTTTTATAAAATGCTATAATGATGATAATAAATTTAAAATTCTTTAATTAAAAATAATTAATTATAATAATTGAAATAAAATAAAAATTATTAAATATCATAACAATGAAAATAAATATGATTTAACTGTTATATTTTCATATTTAATAATTTTATATCATAATAAATGAATAAATAAAAAAAATATAACGTTTTAAATTTGAATTAAGTTCAAATGTTATATTTAATTTTTATATATATTATTTATTTTAAAATTTTATGAGTATAAAGTCTAAATTTTTACAATTATTAAAGACTTTAAATTCAAGAAAAATAGAAGTTAGTGTTTAAAATGTTATAGAAATATTTTTTATATTAACATATCAAATTATATTTATTTATTAAAATTTTATATTTTAACTATATGATTATTTAAAATTTTTAAATTGAAATATAAATTCTAATGCTTTTAATTTTTTTTATGATAATATTCAATTACAAATATAAAGAAGAGTACTCTCTAATAAAAAAGTTTAGCTATTTTGTGAATTTATAATTAGTTTTGAAGATATAAATCAAAATACATATATTATATATAAAAATATGGAATGAGTACAAATATTTTTTATTAATATATTTATTTATTATGTTATATTTTTAAAATTATAATTTTTTAATTAAAAAAATTAAATCAATTTTATTAAATATTAACCTCTTTTTATATAATTAGATAATGTATGAGAGATAGAGAAAAAAATATATCTGAAAATAAAAGTTAAATATCTAATTTACTATATTAAAGTTATATTTATATATCTTTAAAATAATTACAGACTTAATAATAATATACTTTTTTTTTTTACTTTTTTTTAGTTCAATCTATATGTTTTCTTTTACATAGTATTTTAAATTTATTTTTTAAATTTTATTTAAATTAATATTTGTTCTTTTAATAAATTTTTTAAAATATTATTTTATTATTAAATTAGTTTATAGATATATTTTTATTAATTCTTAATTAAAATAATAAATAATAAACAAACTGCATTAATTATTTTCAAAAATTATAAAATTATTATATAAAAAAAATTAATAAATTTATTATTTTAATTTTATATCAAAATAACATAATTTTATTATACTTAATTAGTTATTAAATAAAATTAATTTATTTATAATGTCAATTAATATTAATTTTATTAAGTTATCACAAAATATAAATAATTTAATCATTTATAAAAAAAACTCAATTCTATATATTTTTTTTATAAAAAAGTAAACATCTAAATTTAGTATATATGTTATATGATTATTAATTTTTATTTACAATATTTTTTATCGTAATTTTATTTATACATAAAAAGTTTAATATATTTTTATTTTTAAATATTAATATATAGTTTTGTGTATATCGATATTTAAAGCAGATTTTTAAAATTTCATACATTGAATAAATACTTTATTTTTTATATATTAGATTGATAAATTACTTAAAAAATATAATATCATGTTTTAATAATTATATAGTAAAATTTTATTAATAATTTTAAATTATAATTATAAATAGATAGTTTATCATATAAATTTAATTCAACAAATATAAAAAATATATAAATAAAAAATTATAAAACCTTTTATTTAAATTTTATAATGTATATTAATAAATTTATTATATTTAATAATTTATTGTTATAATTATTTAATTAAAATTTTATAATAATAAATAATTTATGATATCATAAAATAATATAAATTTTATTTTTATATTTTAAAAATAAGATATTTATATGCTATTTTGTTTTATGCTAAGAAATACTAAATTGTATATTTTAAATAACAGTTTATTTTAAGAAATAAATTTTTTATTATATTTATATATTTTTTATATTTAAATTATATATTTATATTTTAAAATAAATTAATTTAATAAAAAATAAACTGTACAACACACGGGTATATTTTTTAATTTTTTTTATTATTATTACATAGTCTAATCAAATTCTTAATCAAATACCTTTTTTATACCACTATCATTCATATACATTGGACAAAACCAATATTGTAAGCAAACCACGTGTATAGCTATATTTTTATTGCATGAAATTAAGCAATCGTTAAATTTCATTCGAATTTCAAATTAACTATTTTTAGAAAGAAAATTATTTTTTTTATTAAATAAATTTTATATAAATCATATTAAATAATAAATAAGTTTAAATTATTTGATAAGTTTTATGTCAAATGTATTTTAAAATAGTCAAATAAAACAAAATTTTTAATATGCATCCCAAGTACACAATCATGAATTTAAATCAACAAGTGTTATTAAGAATAAAATATTCATTCTAGAAAAATATAATTTTATTCTATACTTATTATTTTTAATAATTTTAAAGATATGATATTTTTCAATAATATGTTTACGAACCTACGTTAATAAAAATAATATTAAAACTCAAGAGTGCATAAAATTGAGTTGTTTAAATAGTTTAATTTAAATCAAAAGTTTGTAAAAATTTATAAATAATTTATAAATATTATTAGTTTATAATCTTATATTAATAAAATTCTTCGAATAATTTATGAAAATAAATTATTTTTAATCGATATTAATAAGTTCTCTGAACAAAGTTATAGCCTAAACTCTTTATCAATAAACAAATTATTAAATAAGTATTTAATTAAATTATTATAATACAATCTTAATTTATAATTAATTTTTGAATGTTTGCTTTCTATGTATAATAAACTTTTATTAAAATAATAAATATCATAAAACTCACTTAAATTATTATAATCTTCAATAATTACATATCATTTCCTGATGGCTCAAAACTGTGCGTTCTAATAGTTGGGAAAAATTTAAAGTTTGAGGGGTTGATTCCTTCCACCGTGGCGGTGTTCCTTAAACCCCACACACATTCGCGACTCGCCGGTTGTTCAGAATATCGGCGGTTTCTGTTCTCATTCTTCTTCTGCTCCGTAATTCTTCTAAGGCTTAGTAACTCCTCACTCATAACATATTATTCACTTCTACTTTAGTTGTGTTTTTCTTCACATTTGTTGCTATGCTCACCCATAACTGCTTCCAAACCCTAGTTTGAGTACGAGGTTGTTCCATGACTACTCGAATTGCACCCGGTGTCGGAGCCAATTTGCTGGGTCAACACTCCGCAGAGAGGAATCAAGATGCCACTGCTTATGTTGGAAATCTCGACCCTCAGGTTCGCAATTTTCTCCATTCTTCAAACTTCAAACTTCAAACGCGCTTAATTTCCATTTCCAGGGTTAACCTCTTTTCGTCTGTGTTGCAGATAACTGAGGAGTTACTATGGGAGTTGTTTGTTCAGGCTGGTCCTGTGGGTATGTTTCAGCAAACGGAATCTGTTATGATTGTGATTTATTTTCTTTAGCTTATCATTTGTTCGTTTGCTTTCAGTTAATGTGTATGTTCCTAAGGACAGAGTCAGCAACCAACATCAGGGTTATGGATTTGTTGAATTCCGGAGTGAAGAAGATGCTGACTATGTATGTCTCTCCAGTATTTGGAAATCACACTGTGCAACTCTCTTGAGTTAACAACTTCAAGCTAATTTTTGGGTGGTGGTGTTTTTTTTCTATTGCAGGCCATCAAGGTGCTTAACATGATTAAACTTTATGGGAAACCAATACGTGTGAATAAGGTATTGACATGAAGCTTATACCATTACATTCTTTCCTGTGTGCGCGTCTGTTTAGTATTTAAGCATGAAATCATTAGTATATTGTAGTTATCAATAGTGGCGCGGAGGGGCCATGGACCGCTATAAAGTTTGGATAGCTTAGCATTTTGAATTAGTCGCAACACTGAAAAGTCCCTAATTGGATTTTTGCCCTTAAAAAAACTAGAGTGAAGTTGTTAAAAAAACTCACTTTTGCCCTTAGAAAAGCATTGTTTTGGGAGATTTTTTAGGAGCAACATTAATCTCTCCCCCAAGAGGTTTAAAATCCCTAATTGGATGTAGTTTCCCATGCTTCTATCTACCGGCAACACCCACACTGCAACCAGCAACATTGTCTTCTTTGTTTCTTTGCCTTTTATTGTTATTTACTTGTATGTTTTATATAAAACCTATGAATTTTTCTTTTTAAATATGAATATGTCATGGATTTTGAGCATTTATAGATGTATACATTAATTCGTAAATAAAATTTCTAAATAGTAGTCATTCCACTTTGTGTTATCTTGCTATAGAGTTTTTGGGGCCAACCACAATACACACCACTATCTCATATTGATAACTATTAGGAATGCTCCCACCAACTCTCCTGTTCTAATGCTTATTACTGTAGTTCCCTTTTGAATGGAATTATATTTTGTTCAATTTTATTCTGTTTTATTATGTTTGGAATGACCTAGTGGGATAACCGGAGAAGGCTTGATTTTTGTTGTATTATGTTTTGCATGTGTAATTGGAAGTATTGACGAAGATTAATAAGGAAAAAAAAGAGCTATCATTAACTGATTCAAGATTGCCATGACTCTTGATGACCACTACTTTGGAGGGATGTTAGTTCTTGTGTCTAAGTGTTTAAGGCTTAGGGCCTTAGAATGGGATGATCTTTTCAACTTTTTTCTTGAATTCAACATAGATATCCTCATTCCATAAAAGGGATGCAAGAATGGTATCATTATTCATGCACCCCACGTGTGCTAAGTACTAACTACTAAATAATATTTATCTTTGATTTCCCAAGCCCTTATTGCATGCCATTCCTAGATATCATTCTTATAATTGAATATCTCTTATTCTTCACTTAGTAATCAATCTTTCATATTTGTATTTTGTTTGTATAAATTTTGTTGAGTACAGTTCAATTCCTGCTGTATTTGTATGATTCAATCACGTATCAATGCCCGTATCAATTGATTAAAGAAATATTAGTTTCCATGCTACGTGATTGATTTTACAATATTTTTGGGTTACAGGCATCCCAAGACAAAAAAAGCTTGGATGTTGGGGCAAACCTTTTCATTGGCAATCTTGATCCTGTAAGTCACCAAATTAAGTGTTAAATAGACTCACGCCTTGAGCTTTTAGATTTGACATGAATTCTCCTGATGTTGCTGCAGGATGTGGATGAAAAACTCTTGTATGATACCTTCAGTGCATTTGGAGTTATTGTTACTAATCCAAAGGTTGTGCTCTTTGAATATCTTTTATTATATCTAATATCATCATGTTTGTGTCATGTAAGTAACAGTATCCGGCTAGTTGCAGTTGCAATACTTTTCATGTTTTACCATTTTCTTATTTCTCATTATGGGCATTTATCATTTTGTTTGTTTAAAACTGTTTAGTATCAAGCAGGTGACAATTAAAATAACCATTTGTTTTTAGTCTTTTATTCTTTGAAGACTTTTCTATTTGCACATTTCTAGGCACTATATGCCTAGATTGTTTGTGGTATGAAAAAATAAATTGGATGTTGTCCCAATGTATCCTTCAGAGGGCAGAGTTTTGTAATTATCGTCCCCCTTAAACACTTGGGACGGGTCTGCACAAAAACATTGGATATGCAATTTATGTGATGGATTGGATTATATTTGATGCTGGTTGAATCCATTAACATTTTTATTTTTGTGATTACTATGCTAAAATCTCATGGAGTTAACATCTTCATCAACTCTTCAACTATTCATTTATGTAGCACATACTAGTCAATAGTGCGCTATCACGCTGGTGCAGTGCGGCTGTTGGACGCCACTGCCACTATGTTGTGGGGCGTTTGTCATGTAGCGGAGGTTGCATGCTGTTCGCCATCGGAACAGGGAGAAACTGCATGTTATCACACGATTTTTGGGAAAGTGAGAAACCCTTTTTTGTTTTATCCAAAACACAGAGTTTTGATCTATATTAAGGGTAAAAAGACATTACTCCTTTGTGAAAAAACACATTATAAAATCAAAGATTGCATGAATCTTCTTCGACACTCTTTTTCTGCATGAATAGTGGGGACCTGAACAGTAATGGTTTCTCCCCTCCTAATTCGCTTATCCACCCCATTTTCATAGAGAAATCACCTTTTCCGGAGGCTCACCTACTCGACGGAGAAATCACCTTTTTTGGGGTTTGCTCTGCTTTTCTGTTGTTTTACTGTTCATTATCTGCTTTGCTATTCAAGCTCTATTTTGCTGTTCACACTCTGCTTTGCTGTTCAAGTTCTGTTTTGCTGTTCATGACTTTATGCTCTGTTTTTCTGTTCACATTCACACTCTGTTTTTGTTTATTTTAACACTCATACTGTATTGTTTTACACTTTTACATAGAATGATGATTATATGTTAAATTTTGAGAATTTCTTGAGCATTTATGTTAAAATTTTGTGTACATAACATATATGTATATTGTAAATATGTGTATTGAAAATTTTTAAATGACGATCATCCCGCTATACACTACAGTGTTTTAGGGGTCAGCTACTATCCGGGATTAACAACTATGATGTAGCATATATGTGTGTATGTGTGAATGACTATGTTTTTATTCTTGTTTTGCCAAACATGTCATGTGAAACACGTACTCCTTCAGCTGTATCAACCCTCCATCCTTGGAGGGATTGACTTAAAATTATGTTTTTGATCTGATGTTCAAGGGTTTTTGTTGCAGATCATGAGAGATCCTGAGACAGGGAATTCTCGTGGATTTGGCTTCATTAGCTATGATTCTTTTGAGGCATCTGATTCAGCCATTGAGGTATGCCTCTGTCTGGTGTTTGAAACATTTGTAGGAATATAGTGTGAGATCACTTTTCATTCTTTTGTTATACTTTATCAGCACTTGTGGATTATAAATTGAAACTAACCCCAAAAATGTAACACTTGAGAACTAATAAAATATATATGGACAATTGGTTGATGATCTTTCACCAAATCATAAACTTGTTGACCAATATGTCTTGGTTTAAGCAGAAGGGACTCAGGTCTCTTAAGCATGTGACTTGGGTTCTATCCCAAGATTGATATGTATGAAAGAACACTGATAGGTAGTTGCTTTCGTACCATAAATAAATGGAGACACAAAGATAGCAAAGTCTGCATGGAATCTGTCAAAAATCAAGATTCTTGGTTACATCTGACTTCTTTATGAATGCTTCATGATTTCTTGGTATCATTGCATCAGTGATATCTTTCTAATATTACCTTCACATATTCAAATGGATCAAAATGAAAAAGATGACGGTATGTAGGTTCTCCCTGCAGAAGAGGGATTTGAACATTGGAAAAAGACATACTATTTTTCATCTGATTCCTTGACACTAAAACAGAGAACTACCCTAACAATAGGAAGAAATTAAAAAAAATTTATGAAATTAAAAAGTTGGATAATTTTGTCTTTTCACTTCTATTACATGGTTTGGTTATTTGTTCCGTTTGACCTTAAGTTAAATGTAAGGGGTGAAGTTAAATACGAAGTGTTAAATTAGGGAGTAATATCCCTAATTTAATAAATTAAGGTGGAAAATGCAACTAAAGCTATCCGTCAAGGAGATAAAGTGCACGTGACCTCTATTTATTTAATGTTAACTTTATATAACTAGTGTATCAAAAATATATTAATAACTTGTATTGTGTTTCAGTTTTGTTGTTTGGATATCCAAATCCACTTAACTATAGGATATAAAGTAGTAAGCATTCTGATATTGATTTTTCTAAATTTCATAGGCAATGAATGGACAATATCTTTGCAACCGTCAAATTACAGTATCATATGCTTATAAGAAAGACACTAAAGGTGAAAGGCACGGTACCCCTGCAGGTGAGCCCCTTTCTTGCAACTACCTATTTTTTTGGATTCATTCATGCCTATTGTTTTGATACTATCTGGTTATCTACTTGTATTTCTATTATGGTGCAGAGAGAGTTTTGGCTGCAAGTAATCCAAGTGCACAGAAGAGCAGGCCTCATACTTTATTTGCGAGTGGGCCTCCAACACTTCCCGGTGCACAGGCTAATGGCAGCATTGCTGCACCAGTGCCTCCCCGCCCCTTCGCCAATGGGGTTGCTCCAGCTGCTATTCCTGCCCTCCGTCTGCCACCCCCTCAAGCTGCGGCCTTCCAACCTATGTCAGTACCTGGACAACCGGCATGGCACCAACAACAGCCAGGTCAAACCATCATGCCTCCCGTAATGCCTCCACCTCAAGTCCAGCAGTTCAGGCCACCTCACTCTGGTATGCAGATGCCACTACCACCACAAGCTGTTCCTGCTCCTCCAAGGCCTCTTCCACCACCGGCAGTAATGGCAAGTCAGCCACCACCTGTTTGGCGACCACAACCACCGCCACCACCTCAGCAACAGGGTGGACGGCCTTTAGTATATCCTCAGTCCTCAATGCCACCACCGCCACCTCCCAGTAACAGTGCAATGCCACCACCTTAAAATTAAAGGAATACAAATCATATGGAATGTTCCTGACTCCCATTATCTGAAATTTTGCCCCTTTTTTCTTAGTTGTAGTGCGTTGTATTTGTGAACTATAGTGGTGTAGATTGTGATATGAATGTCCATTGACATTTTGAGTGTTGGGTTTACCGCACGATACTCTCTGTCTTGTCTTTTGCGTTGGTCTCAAGATTCATTGTCCTAGCGAGATGCATATAAATGATGAACGTGTAGAGGACGAAACACCCGTTTCAGTTCTTGTCATAGACGGGGCATTGGTACGGGGAAACATTTTAACATGGTAATGTTAAAGGCGTACACGAATAGTCTTAGAAAAAAGTACGTTCATCACTTTTTCCATGACAGTTTCTTAAGAATTGCATTGTTTTTATTTTTTCTTCTTATTTATGTTTTTCTAAAAAACATTGCAAACCCTCAATTTTTCCAAAAAATTCATTTAATTTTTCATATGATTTTTTAAATTATTTGAAACGTGAATGAAATGAAATGTAATTGACTAAAACGAAAAATAAATATAAAAATTGTTAAAGAGAAGATACTTGGAAAAAAAAAATATTAACCCTAATGTGTTGTTCGGAAATTATGGTTATGAAGGGAAATGGAAGAAAGGATAATTTTATGAGAATTGCTATTTGTTATGAAATTCTTTTCACACAATGTAACAAAAGGAAAATAATCAATCAGATTGCTTTTGATAGACAAACATGGGTGGATGGTTAATAGACGAATGGTTAAGACATTGACACGTTATTTGTATATATTTCGTACTTGAAGCTTTTGTAACATTGAGTATTTTTCTGATTTTATTACTTTAAATAATATATTTTAATTTATATATTTCTAGAATAAAAGATATAATATAATTAATAATATAAATTTAATATAACAAATCTTTATTTATCATCATAAATGATAAATAGTTCTCTTAATTTTTTGAAAAATTCATCCTCTCCCTTCTTTAGAAACTCATTATGTTTGAGAGTTAGGTTTTAAAGAGAAGAAGAAATACTTTATTTTTAATAAATATTCTCTTATTTTATAACTTTTAAAAATAAAAATAAAACAATAAACTAAGTACAAATTTATAATGTCAAACATTTATTTATTTTTATAAATACTATATATTTCTCTTAATATAAGAATAAAAAGTTACCCTTTCCTTCTCCTCCGACAGTCAATCCAAAAGAGAGAGAGATGATTTGTGGGCTGTTGAGTGAAAAAGATGTAGATATGGAGAGGCATGTGTAAGAGTAGTTCTGAGCTGTACTTGCCCAAAGCGTGCCTTCCTAGTCTGTTCAGTTTTCTGTGTCTTTTAGCATTGCATTTGTTTTATATTTTTGGTCAAAAGGACTACGTTGTTTTTCTTGCCTTTGGACCTGTCTTCATGTAGGCTCAGACATAAAATGAAAAATAAAAAAACACTACGTGAAGAGGAATCAAGACGTTGTTGTTTACAATGACATTTTAGAGCAAGACTATCAGTTTGATCATTTGTTCTTGAACTTGTTCAGTTTAAAGTTAAGTTATTTTCAATAAAGTTTATTGGTGGAAGGTGAATTTTCCACGAGCGTAGTTCAGATGTCACCGATTCACCTATTGACAATAACAAAAATGAAATACTGTGCAATGTGTTTGACAGCATCTCAGGAGAGATATCTGATTTTGTAGACAACTTCGTTCATCATAAAGTTTAGGATTGTTTGATTTTTTTTAATTATCTTTGAACAATTATCCTGTATTTTGTAATATAAAATATTACAAAATACAGGATAATTGTTCAAAGATAATTAAAAAAAATCATAGTATCGTTTAATTATGATCGTTACAAGTGTAATTTGACACCCCTTTAGTTTTAGAAAATAAGTTATTAGCTTTTCAAATATCATGTTGTATTTTCAATTTTTATTAAAAAATATTTAATTTTAATCTTTTTTAAAAAATTATCACAAAGTTTTAATTCTTAATGAAAGATTTTATCTTTATTAATATGGAAACTAAAATCAAAATTTTTTTTTATAAAAGTTAAAATTAAAAATTATACCATTTTCAGATATCAATAACTTATTTAATCTTGATTTTTTAAAATTTTATTTTAATATTTCCGAGTACTAATATGCTGAAAAACGGCTTATTTATTTTTTTAATATTTTTTAAAAAATAAATTCTTAAAATAATGTTTTTTAAAAACAAATTCCCTGTCTGGGGTCTTTTTTGCCACGTCAAAACCTGTTTCGCATACTGTATAGACGAAATATAATTTTTTTTATTTTTTAAATGTTATTTCGTCTTTAGTAGAGACGAAATTATCAGATTGCGCCATGTGTCAACATCTGGTGTGTTTTGCCTGACGAAACTCAATGAATGGTGCCATGTGTCATGATCTGGATCAATTTACAAAAATGGTTAAAAAAAAAAGAAAAAATTTATATTTGAATATTTAATTAATATTTATTAAAAATAGAAAATTATAAAATTTAAGAATAAAAAAATTATATAATTTTTAATTAACTTAATTAACAACTACAAATATATTAAAAATGTATATTGAAATTACACTATGTATACTGTATGACGCAAAAAAGAATATCCGCTAATAAAATTATAAATTTATAATTTTTTTTATTTAAACTAATTTGTAAGTTAGGTGTGATATTTAAAAATCTTAATAATTTATATAATAAATATGTATTTTTTATAATTTTTATAGATATTTAAACTAAGATTAACAAATTCTTAACACTATATTTTTTTAATATATTTATAATTATTAATTAATTTAATTAAAATTATCTAAATTTTAATAATTTATTCTTAAATTAAATATTATGATTTTTTTATTTTAATATATTTTAATTAAATATTATATTTTTTTTCAATACATTTCCATTAAATTCTAATGCTGCCATTATAAATTTATAATTTTATTAGCAGATATTCTTTTTTGCGTCATACATTATACCTAGTGTAATTTCAATATACATTTTTAATATATTTGTAGTTGTTAATTAAGTTAATTAAAAATTATATAATTTTTTTATTCTTAAATTTTATAATTTTCTATTTTTAATAAATATTAATTAAATATTCAAATATAAATTTTTTCTTTTTTTTTAACCATTTTCGTAAATTGATCCAGATCATGACACATGGCACCATTTATTGAGTTTCGTCTCTGCAGTAGGCGAAACACACCAGTTGACACATGGCGCAATCTGATAATTTCGTCTCTGCTAAAGACGAAATAGCATTTAAAAAATAAAAAAAATTATATTTCGTCTATACAGTATGCGAAACAGGTCTTGACGTGGCAAAAAAGACCCCAGACAGGGAATTTGTTTTTAAAAAACATTATTTTAAGAATTTGTTTTTTAAAAAATATTAAAAAAATAAATAAGCCCTGAAAAACACATGAAAGGATGCCATGAATTTCTAAATTCGCCTTACCTGCTTAATTTAAGTACTGAATTTTACCGCAATAGAAAAAAAGAAAAGAAAATCCTTATCTATTTATTTTCCCAATTTTTATCATTTAAAAAAAATACTATATATATATATATCCCCGGTGGAGCCAGGCCTTTCCTTTGAAATGTTTTCTCTTTGTTTGATGTTAATATGGAAATTGACGTTTCCTTGACGAAAGGGTAAAGCCATGTTGAGGTTTTAACGAGGCACAGACAGGCCATAATGTCCCATTTATTTATAGATAGAAACCATCCCATATTTGGTGGAAAATGGGTCCTCAAAACTAAGTTATCCAAATTGAATGCAATAATGCTTCGGAAACGGTTCTTGTCACCTTCCCCCCTTCATTCCTTCTCATCCATTTGCTTTTCTGCAATAAATTCAATCAATATCCTAATTTTGTCTCGAAATTCCCAAAACTCACCTTCACATAGTAATTATTATTAGGAAGAACTTTTTCTCCCTTCCCTTCACTCATACAACTGATCTTATTACTGTTATCTAAAACACAATCACGCTTGTTAACGCCAAATGATCATTGTTAGTGTAATTATCATTATTGCAGCAATTATTATCAAATCGATATAATTATCATATTTTTGTTGTTGTTTTTATTAGTGACACAATTATTATTACTACAATTACCATTACTGTTATTAAAGATAAACAAATAAATCATCTACATTTTCTATCTCTTAATTAACATAAACTTTAACGTGGTTTAACATTTTTTTAACTACATTCATGAACTCCTAATATTATTTTATTATTTTATAATTTTTTAAACAGACAAAATTACAAAAATTATATGTTATTACGATAAGTAAACATAAAATAAATAATCTCATTTATTATATTTTTCTATCTTTTGTTTTATTAAAAAATTCTAACATGAGACTTGAATAAATCTTATCAATTACATCTGTCAATTCTTTTTATACTTGTTGCCACTTTTCCCTATTCCACAACTATTTGTACTCATTTGTCATTATCTTATCATATTTATTGTGATTGTTACCATTATTATCTCAACTATTTTTGTTAGTACTATTACTAAACTATTATGATTAAGGTAGACTAATAATCTAAATCATATATAAAAAATTTAAAGAATTAAAATGTAAAAATATCTTAGAATATGAAATTTTATTAAGAACTTTTTTTACTATAACAACGTATAGTCTTTTGAGTTTGTTAGAGACTGAAATAATTATGCGTTAAGAGATAGTTTATAATTTTATTCATAAGAAAGATGATTAGCAATTATATCAATATAAAAATTATAAAATTATATTAAGACTTAATGAACATAAGCAAGAAGTGTCAAACTAGGTTAAATATTTGTGCATGTGTTTTTAGGGATAGAGAATTTATGTCTCTTCTTCTCCTTAACAATTGGCATTAGAATGAGCTTTAGACTCAAAGATGAGAAGAAATAAAAAAGAAGTAATTGATACTGCATTGTCATTTCTTTTGCCAGTTGAAGAAAAATCTTGCTCCTTATAGATTATACAATAAAAGAAGATTGTAGTAGAATAATAAGATTAAAAGAAAAATTATTGCAAAATGAAGAAATGTGACTGTAAATGAATGAAGTATACGCGATTATTTAATAATTTATTATATATAAGCTTTCTTACCATAACATATATTCTTATGAATTATGTATTTTGCGAGAGAATTTACAATTTTATCCATACAAAAATTTATAATGGAGAGATTTCATAATTTTATCCAAGAAAAGACTTATAAAAATCAAAATTATGCTAAAAGTTCATAAACATAGGTAATAGTGTCCAACCACTCTAAATATATGCCTTCTTCTTAGGATGAAAAATGTGAAAAATCCTTTTATTCCATACATAATAGCCATTGTCATGGTTAAATCTTATTTAGTAGATAGGATAGTTAAAAAATGATATAGTTTTTTCTATCATATTTTATTTCTAACATTTATTTAAGATGGCGAGATAATATTATATTATGAAATTATCATATTTTTTTTATATAAATTTTATTTTTTATATGACTTGAGCTAGAAATAAATAGAATAAAATAACATAATATGTGTATTTATCATTTTGATTTACATAAAATATAAAATATATTAAGAGCATATTTTATGTTTATCTTATCAAATTCTTATCTAATTTTCTATCTTTTTATTGTATTATGTTAATAAACAAGTTCTAAAAATTTAAGATAATATTCAAATAATTTTATTACTAATCTTAAACTGAACTTTATTATTTAATAAATAAAATTTTATTAATTATATTTATAAAAATGTGTATATGAGAATTATATCCTTTTGTAGTTTGGAGTAATATATGCTTGTAATAATCAACGCACGTTTTACACGTTTTTTTTCAAATAATTAGATGAAGAATTTAATGTGGATTCCATTAAAGCAATTGGATATACTCTATTCAACAGAACTCACTTACTACCTTGACTTTTTTTCTTCTATTGCCTTTTTTTTATTTATGTTTTAAATTTTAGGTTTTTCATAAATATAAGTTTATTTTAATTTTTGAAAACTGTACCCCTATATATAGATAATAATTTCAATTAAATATACATTAAAATTATATCTTAATTTTAGTTATTTACTTTCTTTTTTAACTTATTAAACGGCGAGTATGTGAAATTAAGGAATAATAAATGAAATAGGTACAATTTAAATGAAGATAATTTAGTCAAAATATAATAAAACCATACATCATTTAATTACTTTTCTATATAGCTTTAAACAAAACAAAAAATAAAAGGATTAAAATTTATCTAACGTGTTTGTTAAAAAATTTAGTATTTTATTTTATTGACTTTTTTCTTTGGTTATTGACAAATTATGCTTTCAAAGCTCCAAAGAAACTACCAATATAAAATTTGATTTTTTAGTGTAATGAATATAGTTAAAACACTTGTTAAAAATTTATAACAAAATGAAATTAAAAAAAGTTCATTTTAATGTTATATTTTTATTAAATACTTTTTTTATGACTTTATGTCCTTAAAAGTTAAAAATACTATTTTTTTTATGTTTATGATAAAATAACATATTAAAAAAAAATCAGCAATACATTATTTAACACACTTTTAGTTATTAGCTAAAAAATTTAAAAATATAAAAAACATTAAATTAAATGTGAAAAAAAGTATAACTCACATGATTTTTATAATTCTTAATAAATTTGAATTAATAACTAAACGTATAGGTAGTGTTGTTGATGAATTTTTTTTCCCTCGTCAACTACGATAATTTCTTAGAAACCATCTAAAGTGCTTTCTATGTAGCTGCATAAAATAGGAAATATCACAGTTGAGTCCTGAATTTTATAACGAATATAAAAGCTTTGTGTCTATGTTATGTCTCGTATGTATATATCACATAACTAAAAGAGATGTCGTTGATAATACGATTTCATGTCACATGATCCAACCCAAGATCGCATCACTTATGGGGATCCTCGTGTTTCGGATTCTGTCTTCCCTAAATGCCATGAACATGCATGGAAACTTCAACCCTGCTTGGTTCCATGGACCTCTTTTTTATAGCAAAACTCTGTGACACTAATTGAAAGACCTTGTGCCATGTGATCACGAATAAATACCATGATAATTAAACAAGGTTGTACATGTTTCCGCACGCTTCACTTGCAAATGTTTGTAGCTGGTGAAGATCCAAATTAAATCATATATAAAAAAATTGAACATTTTCTTAGAGAGAGATTCCTCAATTCCTTCTCTGTACGTAAATCAAATCTCGTGAGAAACCATAAAGTCTAAAAATGGATAGCCTAATCAGAAAAGACAAGATAAGCTTAGAACAGTGATAAATTGATAATAAGGTCCATACATCTTCACGTTGCCTTTTCTTTTTCTTTTTGGACAAATTATAACCTCCTTTGTTGCTTATAGTAACTTTACTTAACTCGAACATAAAAAATAAACATGTAAATATTAAGCACTCACCACCTAAAAAGAAAAACAGGAACTCAAACATGCAACTTATTAAATATAATTTTAATAAAGTGTTTCTTTATCAATTCTTTAATTATCATTGAGAACTTTCTAACCACTGTTTAGGAGACCAATTACTCTCTTATTTGATCTCTCTCTTTCTGTGCATTCATCATTTAAAGTTTTTCTGTCCAAAAAATAAAATAGAATCCCAGTACTAAATCCATCAAATATAGTGCATCAAGAAACAAATGACAGTGGGTCTACTGATGATGACATTCTCTATCATGTCATAAGTCATCACATAACACTTTCTACATACACATGCACTATACATAGTTAGTTAACAGCAGTTACATAATTGGTTTTATTTTCCCAGCAATAATATTTACATATTCATACATTATTTTTTACCTTATTTTCTAATGACATTACATCATTTATATATTTAATATTTTATCTCATATCTGATTTGAGCGTAGGGAAAGAGAAGAGGCAACAGTAAACCAGCGCGGTCGCCAACACGCCGCAACAGATGCGTAAAGGCACCGTCGATGACGTGATTGACGTCAGCCACACGTGAACCTATTATCACTTTTCCCTTTACCTTTACTTTACCATGCGATACAAGGCCCCACGTTCTCACGTGCGGCCTGTTAATATATATAATTAATAAATAATATAATATCCAAATTTTTTGTTCTTGTGTGGAGTCAAATAGGAATGTGTCTTCCATTGCTTTCCAGCTCTTTCTTTCTTGTTAACAATATTTTATGGGTGTCACGCTCCGAATCTAACACATTATTGACTTTGTGTTAGACAACTCTGGTTTTGCAATCCCAATAACCCATAACTTATTATAATATTATTGTTTCATTAATTAATTCGACTATTAATTATCCCGCCACACTTTGCGGCATCAGCATGGGACCTATGTTTCGTTGAATTTTCCATCTTTATTTTTGGGTTAGCAAAGTTCCCATGTTTATGTTTGTCATCTCTTTCTTCTTGTTTCATGCCATTGTCTTCCATGTGGCACTTTTTTACTAGCTTGGAATCATGATCTACTCGAATCTCTTGCCGTGTGAAACATTGATCCCTTAACCGATCATAAAGTCAACTCCTCCTAATCCTATGTTTCTACCCCGTGATTACACTTTCAACTAACTTTATCTTGCTTTTATTATATATATATATATATATATATATATATATATATATATATATATATATATATGCGTATTAATATTTTACATTTTCTTATCCTAATCGATTTTCCGGGTCAAGCAAGAAAAGATTGTTTGGGAAGATTGAGGGTGCATTAACAAACAAAATGTGTCGCTGAAATAGAAACTTGTTCAGTTTTCTATCTCATTGTCATTGTTAATGTCATACAAAGAAATATCCAACCATGCGCCAATTTCCTACCAACCAAAATAGAACTCAGACCCCATCCATTATTTTTGTTGCCATGGGCTATAACTTTAGGAGAGATGTACATAAATTTTCAGCCATAGAATTACATTTAATGCAAGATTAAATTGTAACTGTAAAAACTTTATAGGCCGCAACAAGAAGAAAATGGTACAACCTGAACAGGCAAATACAGGAGCAAGATTCAAATTGAATACTTTTGTATTTTTACTACATACAACCCAATCCTCCTCTACCACCTTTTCCTCCCAACAAAATTTAAAAAGAAAACTCGTGTAGACAAAGGATAAAATAAAATTTAAAACCAAAAAAAAAAAAGGAAAAACACAAGTTATGATCACTCCAACCAAAATTTCAAAATCCAAACATCCCCTTTGAGATAGACTAGAAACATTTATCTGGAGAGTTTGATATTCAAAAATTAGATGAGACTGCCTCCTTCCATTGCTCCAGGAAGGGTGTAAAGGGTCAGAAACGGGAATAGATGACTTCATGAACCATCTGTACAATTGAAAGAATGGCTTATTTTTTTGCTTCACTAAACTCTTACATTGTCGCTTCCGGAATCCATTAGAATTGTCAACCTCTTTGCTGTTCTTGTGAAGTCACTGCAACAGCATCAAAGAGATAAACATGTCAAGCTCTAAGATGGACTACATTCTGCAATTCAAGAGTAATGATTGTGATTGCGATTCCTACCTGAAAGGTTCATCGCCAATGTGCTTTACGACCCCAGTTACATCCCGATAGAGCACATGACTTAACATCTCAGATTTTTCTAGGCCAAACATGTCTGCCAGCTTTCTGTTCAGTTCATCGTATGACCTGAGCAACGAGAGGTCCATAGTCCGCCCAACGTCTTCTGATTCCATAAAAACTTTACAGTGACCAGTCTCCAAACTAGTCTCAGTTTCTTGGCAGTTATCCCTATACCACTGGAACCTATCACAAGAGGAGCGTTCGTGTTGGCCTTGTTGATGAAGAGCAGATCCAGAACCATCAGAAAAATTAGTCACTTTATCAGCATTTCCATCTGATGAACAGTTTCCAGTAGGAACTGGGGAGACTGTATCACCAGAGCTGCTCTGAGAGATCGGTTGCCCTGTGAGAATTTTTTGGCCGAAAAGCACAAGCTCGGTTGTCTTCCCATCATTCAGTTGCTTTGAAGACTGCGTCGAATTTGCCATAGATAGTAAGCAAGAGATATTCTCACTCATCCTGGGCTTTTGCAATATGAGGTTATTGGAGACCCTCATCCGCATAGCAGCATGATCAAGAGGCGGGAACCCAACTGGAAGTAGACCTGACTGCACTTTATTGAGGTGATCTGATAAGGATAGACCATAATGAGCATGCCTGGCTCCCTGCATGCCAGCAGGAGTACTTTCGGGTAGACAACCAAATGGATTGGTGTTGCTGGGACCTAGAAGGTTGCCGGGAAATGTTGGAACAGGAATCTGGCCATCAAGGGGGAAATCCGGGTGTTGAGGCAATCTCAGTTTCTTCCGTGGTGGTGAGAAAGGGGAAGCATGAATGGCAGGCATGCTTGATACCAATTCAACCAGCCATGGGCTCACTCTTCTTACATTCTGAAGTAAATCTGGTTCATCCCATGTAACCTACAAATATACTTCAGTAAATTAGTCAGAGTTGACATAAAATAGAGAAACTAAACTTTAAGTAGACCTGGTTTTACTTGAGTTAAACATGCAAAATGCAATTAGTTAAAAACCAGAGCCCAATCTTAATCAATACTCTAAATCTCCAGAAGTAAATTTAATTAGCAACTACAAAGGCTAATAGTTTCTGAATTCTAACATATTTTCACATCAACTAACAACATTGGCATAAAGGGTACAAAAAAAATGACACCATCACATTTCTACCAAATTCTCATAATAACCGAGCATATCATTGATGCTAAGGAATTTCAGGATAAACAAACTAGCAAACTAGCAAACTAGCAATATGTTTTCAATAAATATGATGTTACCTGGAGAAGCCTCCAAGGTGAGTTAGGCCAGTTAAGAGGATCAGCAACCTGAACTGAAGATATCGTTCCCATAAACCAACTTATTCGCGAAGAGTCCTCTGTCTCAAAGGCCATCTTGAACCTTATTCCAGAACACCACCTTATCTGCAGTGCTGTTTCAATTAATGGGGCCTTCACACAAAACTCGGGAGTACTAGCCCGAGGGAAGTAAACAACCTCAAAGGGCTGCTTATTGGCGGCAAGAGTTGCTGCTTCAATTACAGCTTCTGGCCTCACTTTTCCCCTCCCCATCATGCTCACACTTGGATTCATCCCATTGCTGTTACCATTTCTGAGGATCCTGCTCTCATCCTCCCTCAAAAAGGGCGAAAACCCACCATAAGGCCCGGCACAATTTCCACCTGCAGGGTTCCACCCTGAAGAAGCCTCAGGTCCACCACCAATACCCTTCTTCGCTCGGCGAATCCCAACACATAGATCCCCATTTTCAGCTCTCAGAAACACAATTGAGTCCCCAGCAACAAGCTTCTTGTGATTCACAAAAGTACTCCATCCAGTAGTCAATAGATGCCGCCTCGGCGTGCCCCTATAAATGTGCCTGAATTTCCATGTTTCACCATGAACATCCTTGGCGAGGATGTTCTGAACAGGAGGGTCAGCGGAGTAATCCAAACGAGGGAAAATTGTCTCGGCACAATATCTAGGAACAGAAAACCCCCCACCATTGTTAGCATCAGATTGGGTCAAGGTCTTTGCAAATGAAGCAGGCTTTTCCTGAGTTTCAGGCCCAACAGCATCACGGTCATAATCAACATCATTAGTATTCATAGGAACAAGCCTGAGTTTAGCATAGACCTCATCAGTCTCAGGATCAGCCAGGTATTTGATAGCTACCACTTTGCATGGAACCAAAGGTGGAACCTTGGGACAAGCCCTGAAGTTAACTGGTCCACATGCATGCTCAGCATGGCCCTGAGGAAAGTAATACACTTTAGTATTCACTGCTGGCATCTGCACCATCCCTCCTGCACACGCATGCCATAGCTGAGGATCCAAACACCTCTCCACCTCTTTTGATTTCTCCTTTGAATCCATGAATGTAATCATCTCACACAACTTTTTCACTGCAAGATTGCTGCATCCGTGTAATTTTTCCCAAATTTAGCATATTGAGGACTGAGAATTATGGGGGGTGCAGAAAAAACATTCATTTATAAATTAATAGATGAATAAATTCACATTTTTATGAGTTTTTATCTTACCTTAAAAGGCATATATGATCACAGCAAAGCTGGAACCAGAAGAAAAATTAACTGCCACGTGTCCAACACAATTCAGAGAACCTCACTTTGCAAATTATATTTCCACTGAGAAAGAGAATCCCAGTCACCCACAGTTTTTCTGAGTCCCAATTTTGCTGACTGACCAATTCAAACTTCAAAAGCTTCTCTCTCTCTAAACTCTGTCTTCACAACTTTAACACCCAAAAAACCCTAATGTCTTTAACAATTGGAGGTAGCTTTCATGGAACATGTGTTCCAAAATTTGAAATTTCAAGCAAACAGTTCAAACCCACCAAGTTTTTTTTATATTTGCTCAGTTAGCAGAGGATGGTTAAAACAGAGAATTGGAAGAAAGAGTTGGGGAGACAGTGATAAGGTTGGAAGTGAATCATTGGAAAAACATGAACACGTTAAAAAAACCAAGTTCAAGATCTACAACCAACAGTCTCAGTCGCTGTCTTGTCTCGGGTAAAAAAAAATAAAAATAGAAAGACATAACCAAAGGAAAAATTTTAAAAAGAAAAAGGAAAAATCTATAACTGCCTACACAAGAATCTCTGCAAAAAGATCTGCTGAAGCTCCAAAATTGAAGCAGGAAATTGTGGAGGAAGAAAGACCCGCGAAAAAGAAGAGTAGAAAAAAAGGGAATTTAGAACAAAAGTGAATCTTTGGAGTTGAAAGCCACGAAGTGTGTGGGCGACATGGATGCAGAGATAAAAGGGCAGGAACAGACCCACACTCTTTGCAGAGCAGAGAGAGGGATTTTGTTTTTTTGGCTATGGATGATGCAATGCAATGCAAGACTCCAAAAGCACACGCACCATGACACAACACACCAAACTAATATCACTGCGTAGTGGACTTGGTAATAATAATACTGTGCCACTGTTTCCTTTTTTTCAATAAATATTTTTTGAAAATACAGTTCTGTTTTTCTTGCAACCTTTTCTCTCATTTTTCTATTGCATTTTTATTTATTGTATTAAATATTAAAAAAGAAAAAGAAAATGCTTTTTTTAACCTGATATTTGTAAGTTTGTTTTCGCCTTTTTCGTCGGATCTGAGAAAGTAAACTCCGTATCTTGCGAAGCTAGCAAAACAACAAAGATATGTTAAGGAAGCTGAGCTGTGTTGTGTGGCGTGCTTTCAAAATTATTGAACTGATATGTTTCTAAATTTCTAGTGAAGGAACTGATCATTTTTTTTCTTACAAAGTTTAAGGTGATTTTTTCTATTTATCCGTGATGTCGAGATTAATATATATAAATAAGGTAATTATGTAAATAAAATAACTATGGAATTAGTTTAATTTTAGATAATATAATATCAAGTAACTATTATACACCAATTGGTTTTTTTTTTATATTTTTTTCTTTCTTTTTCAATATGATATTTAGAGTTCAACGAAAGGATGATTCTAATTTGAAAATGCTTCATGGGCAATTATTTATGAGCGTACTTTTAAAAAAAAATTATTTTGTTTGTATATATATTTGGCGTATTTACGATTTGATTTTAAATTATTTTGCTATTCTGAGTCTATACACAGTAATTATTTGATAAAATAAGCTAAAAGTTATAAGCTTTTAATTGTGAAATTAGTTAAATTTTTATAAAATTAAAATTGTTTAACAAATTAATCGTGTAACTAATTTATTTATGTTAAATAACTTTAAAAATATGTAATGTTACGTTAATATAATATTAAAATTAATTATCATTTATTTTATTTATTTATAATTACTTAATTAATTATCTAAAAAATTCATATATATTTAAACATAAAATATTTCAAATCATATATTTTTTAATATGAAATATATTTGAAAAGAAGAGATAGAAAATTAGATTAAAAAAATAAGAAAAAATTTGAATGAGACTATTGTTAGTAAAAATGGAACAAAAGATAATAAAATTAATGCATGTATATCAAGTTTTAATTAAAAAAAAGTAATAAAAATATAAGAAAAATATTGGTAGTTAACTGCTGAAAGTTAAATATTATTTTAAATAGTTTTGAAAGCTAGTTTTCAAAAGCTACAAATTTATTTTACTTTTTACTTATCAAACATTTCTATAAGTTTATTAACCAAGTTAATAAGTTACAAGCTTCTAAATAAGTTACTAACTACTTTTATTAAACATAACATTAGTTCACCTTACTTTGTGTTTTCATTAAAATATCTATCAAAGTTATTTTTTCTCTTCTTGAGACTCCTTTACTCTAATGTCTCATTCGTATGTTTATACTCACATTTATAAACTTAAAAATTTTCATCTTAAGTGTAACCATTGTCATTAGCATAGTCATCCCATAGATCACTGCTATATTTTTTATGATCACCCTCCTCATTTGGCTCTATTTGCCTACCACATGCTCCTCAAATGTTATATGTCCCTTCTTATGATTTTTTAAAGTGGTGCAAAATTTGTTTTCATTCCACAATATTAGTTGTGCAAATTAGTAATTTCCTTTTTATCATCTTTCATTTTTCTTCTCTTAATTCTTGAGTTCTTGATTATGAGACCGATTATATTATTGGTACCATAAATCTCTTTCTCTACCCTTTCTTTTTTTATTCTTTACCCCCATTACACTATGAGTAGTAGTTCCTAAGTACAACCTAATGATATTAACACTATTTTTTTTTATTAATAATGTTTTTTACGTTTCTGAGTCTCCTTCTAATATATTCTCTGTCCATCATTTTATTTGCCCCCTTAATTGTGTTATTTTGTTTATCAAATATTTTGTTACCTTGTACGACTAGAATTTAGAACTTCAAATGTAAGTAACAGGGTCTATACTATTGTTAACAATTCTCTCTTATTAGATAAATTATGGATACTTCACTCATAATTCATATTTAATTGAGTTATTGTAGTCTTGTCAACATAAAAATATTAATGTGTGGTCTATTTAAGCCAACTTATTTAAATTGTGAGTTATGATAATTATATAAGCATGTTAGTAATTCTTTTTTTATCAGTGTCATTAGTTGTGCTTCATCTTTCTTTACTTTAGTTTATTTAGATGTTTGAGATATTTTATGTACTTAACTTTATTTAATAAAAGACTATTTTAAGTTTTTTATTTTTCATGTTTTTTTTTAAAACTTTATACCAATTCTATTTGATTTGAATATAACATGATGATGACGTATATAAAAAGAAAAAATATTAATATTTTTAGAATATTAATTAAAGAATTAAAAATATTATAATATATTTTTATTATAATTGTTAGTAAAAAGTAATTTTTTTTATCTTAAAACACAAATTAATAAGGAGAAAGAAATGAAAAAGAATGTTTTGAGGCGTGCAACCTTAATGGTGAAAACCATTCAAGTTACCAATTCTAGACTTAGGAGCTGCTGCACGTTTAAATTGTCAATTCTTGTTTGGTTTAGCGGATGAATATTTTATAAGAGGTAATTAAGATTGAATTGAGAATATTTATATTATAGTATAATTATTACTCTTAATAAAAAAATATATGTAAATTTTGAATTTGAGATTTTATGTATAAGAAATTAAATGTGTATTATTTGAATCAATTATTGTTAATATTCAAATAATCAATTGAACAACTCTAACCTGCGTTACACGAATATACAATTTTAATTTAAAAGCTATAATGAAGACGTGATATTTGGAATGTGCAAAGGAATGATAATATCGTATAAATAGCGAATAATATTCAACAAATACAAAATAATATATCCATTTATATATGATTATATGCATTTAAAAATGCATATATTATATAATAACCTTTTATTTTTCTTAAAGTCATGGGTGGGTTGTCCACGCTTCCGTGGTCTTTGAACCTGACTCGGTCAAGACTCAACCCTGACCATGACTATGTTTTTTATGGTTTTCTTGGAGTTGCATGGTCTTACATACTTCAGTCATGGACCTCGTACAAGTAACCTTTTTTTTTTGTTTTTTAATGTTGAGGGAAAAAGAACTTGTATACACAGACATGAACAGTAATTGATTTATGTCTTTATCACATGAGTTCAAGCTACTTTTATAATTGTTAATTATGTCTTTAATAACGAATAGTTTTAAATTTTAATGTAAAGATTAATAAATAATATATTTTATATAAAAATATTTAATTATAAAAGAATATTAAGAATTAGAAAGGCGTAAGAAGATTCTCACTTCTCTCCTATTTTCCTTCTCTCAAACATACAAGATATATTTTAAAAATGAAATTTGAATACTCATTTCATTTGATAACTTTTTTTAAGCTGCAAATTTAATAAACCTATTTATTAAACTGTGAGATATATTTATCATAAGAATTATATATTAAATTTAAAAAAAAAATATATATATATATAATATTAATTACAGTTAACATTGATTTATATTTTAAAGAATGTAGCATATATTAACATAAAATTGACTTATGAGGTATTAGTTGTTTTTTGAATTATGTGCGATTATATAAATTTAATTTATTCAATAAAAATTTAATTTAATAATTAAATGAAATATAATATTTATAAAATGTTATGAAACACAGTAAAATTGACAACACTTTATTATTGTAGATCAAGTAAATCCCCACTTATATGAGTGGGTGTGTGTGCATTTGATTGATAGCCAAAATTACAATTTTTTCAAGGTGGTGAACAAGTGATAAACATTGGTGGATTGATTACTAATGTGTAGCATATTTTTATTTTTCAGTTGAATTTCGATGTCACGAGCGACTTCTAGTTAATGACCAAAAACAGGAAAACTACTAGTCAATCTTTCATCTAGGTATACTGAGATATGCAAGCTATAATTGATTACAATGAAAAAATAAACGTAGGCAAAAGAAAATGAAAACGTGTTTCACTACATTTTTTTTTCCCACTTTAACCGACTTTGGATTTGCCTCTTAATTTATAAGCTAATTTGAAACGTTTACTGATACTTGTACTCATTTACCAATTGGAATTACGTAGGACAAACTTTTTTTCTGCCAGAACGTAGGGCAAACTTTGAACACTAGGAATTAGATATGTTTATGGATCTACAGAAAAATAATTTAAAACGACTCATTAATTAGCCGTAGAATTCGAAAGCCTTTTTACTTAAAATCATTTCGAGGACTCAGTTGTTTCGGGATTTGATACTCATATCATTTATTCTCGTTACTATATCTGTGTATACCATGCGGATTTTATTAAACAATAAAGAGAAAAAAAATAAGTTCTTCAAATATAGTCTTTCCCCTAAATATTATAAGAACCTTACAGCAAGACACTCGAAATGTCGATTATACTAGTTAAAATATGACGTATGTATAATCTTTTGCAAACTCGTATTATTTTAGTCAAGCCTGTGCTCCTGCACTAATCTACTTACCCAGAATATCATTGTTCTTTTTTGTGAACATTGATTTCTAATTTAAACAAAGGAAAAAGCGAACCATGCCAGTAATAATTTACACCACAGCATAGGTGGGATATGGCTATTAAGCGTAGCATAGCATGGTCCAATCCCACCTATTGAAGTTAAAAACTAGTAGTATTGCCAAATGTGGCGGCACTAAATTTTGCCTATTTCTGAGGTCTGATTGCAACAATAAAGAAAAGGGGTGTGTTGTTATGCCAAAAGCTATGAACCCACGAAGGATCGATTATCTTTATATATTATAATTATATAATTCTATGCTTGATTTCTCTAATTTTGACTAACAATTTCTATCTCCCGAAAAAGCAATATCTAAGGGCACGCAAAGCTAGTGGAAAAGGACTCGGTGCTAAAACCAAACATAAACATGAAAATTATAAGGAAGAAAGAGACGGGG